TTCGATATGGCAGAAAATACCGCAGATGCGTCTTGCGACGTGGACGATTCATGATGCGCAGGAATAAACGCTGGAGACGTATCAGGCGTCGACGACCAAAAACACTCCCAAAAAGAGTTAATCGACGACGCTGGCTTCGACGTTACCGCAGACGTCGACGCGCTATGTTACGTCGTAGACGTCAGCGTCGTCGCTTAAGGCGCAGACGACGTATGAACCGTAGAAGACGACGTCGACTTCGTTTCCGTCTGAGAAGACGTCGTTTGAGGCGTCGGCTTTTACGAAGAAGGAGACGCTTGCGTCGTTTACGCATTTACAGACGATCGAGACCAAGAACTACGCGGTTAAGAATCAAATGGTTCAAGAGATGGAGAAGAGTTGTACGTCGTGGGAGACGTTATTATATAATCTACAAACGCAAGTTCCTACGAGTCTTGTTCAAGAGAGCCAAACCATACATTCGTTACAAGAAGCGCTGGATTCTAAGACCAAAAAAATACTTTGGGTAATCAAATCAAACTTATTAGAATTCACGTATAATTAGCTATATTAGCTAGTATATCACGGTTTTTCCAGTAAACGTTTGAATTTATGTCAGAAGCATGTAATCATATATTGATCGGGTAGAGGTGTTCTGTGAATACAGCTTTCATACTCACATGTGAACATAGCATCAATTTCTGGAAGTCCTGGAAGTCTCAATTATATCTTTAGTGAGTAAGTGAGTAAATGAGCAATTGCATCAACGCACGTTCTGTTCCACAATAGACTTTCTCCAATAGTCTCATTCAAGTTTCCCTGCTCCGTGTTCCAAAGATCGTTGTGGCTCTGCATCGAAGTGAGACGACCGTTGAGCCTGCAATGAAAGAAACTTTCTTTTACGTCTCCATCCATTTATTCACAGGTTTCAGTCAATGCATCCTCAAAGGTCGTCTCATTTCGATGCAAATACATTGCTGGCTTTCAATTTATCGCAGGGAAGCAAGGAGGAGACTATTTCTGTGAAMAAMATATGAAATAAATGCATTTGCTTGAGCTGAATTAGGGAATTTGTGACATGAAAACCATCAACACAATGCAATAACTCTGTTCGTGATTAGGAAACAAGTTTTGCGAGGAATTTTCTGGATTTGCACCAAAGCGGCCAATAACCCAAAAAGTTGTCATTTTTGAGCTTGTTTATCCCTTTACAATGTCAGAAAAATAATTTTTCTTGCTGAAAAAGTCATAATTTTGATATTATTTGGCACTCTTGTTCATTTGACGGCTGAAGAAAACATGCTGCCCGCTTTGGTTTTAACCGCGAAAATGGCTATTGATAAGATAACATCGTAACGTAATTCAAGATAACGCTATACTAAAGTTTCTGCTTGAAAAATAACAATTTCATATCTAATATTCGTCTTTACAAACAGACTTCGCACAAGAAGAAGGATTCGATACATTCGTGTAAAGAAAAACAAATGGAAAGTCAAGTACCGACGAAAGACACGCAGAGTTATCTTCCGTGGAGTCAGAACTCGCATTCKTTATGGACGACGATATATCAGACTCGGAAAACGACGAAGACGAAGACGAATAGTGCCACGAATTCAAATATTACTGCTGAAGCGATGGAGAAGGTAGAGAAAGACCTTATTTGTTTATGAATGATTGTTACCCAAAAAAGCYRATTTGGATGCAAAAAGAATTAAAAYCTTCTATTWTGGAATGATTTGGTATACGGATCATGAAAGGGGATCYCATTCTTTTTGTAACAATTGAAAAATATTTTCAGCTTTCAAATATTACTATAGTTCATGATGATGTCAAACACAATTTGTAAAAGCAAACAAAAATGCAAAAAATTGATGTCACCTCATTTTTCAGTTTTCAAGGTGGCGACATTTCAAAAGTCAGTTCATTTCTTCACTWTTAYCATTTCCTCTTTTCGAATAGAAATGATTTCCTAAAATAGTCATATTCAATTTGTTGTTGACAATCGATCGATATAAATGCTATGTAATATCGATAGTTTGACAAGTGTCAGTCATGTCCGTGTATTTTAGAGACTACGTTCACACGGAGCCGGTCAAGTTTGAGGACACCTCGGTTTTACACCCTTTTAATAAGTCCCGATGTATTACCTTCTCCGCACTTGACGTCAAATTTATTCTTTTGAATTCCTTTTGTATTGCAAAAATTYCAAAAGAATAAATTTGACGTCAAGTGCGGAGAAAAAACAATACCTCGGGGCTTATTAAAAGGGTGTTTAGGACAGTTCCCACTGTTCACACGGAGCCGTTCACATTTCGCTACTGATTAAAACAGAGTTCACACGGATCCGTTCATGCTTCGAAGTAACCCGTCCTCAAAGTCAATCGGCTTTTTAGCCGACCCCAAAACSTGACCAGTTTTGACAGCCTCAGATGAGGCCAGTTCCAGAGTTCCAGTGTGAACGCGCGCCTAAACAGACCAAAAACTAGAACGGTTCCGAACGGGAACGTCCCCGTGTGAACGGGGMGTTGGTTTGAATGAAAATTGATGATGATGATTGTTTGTCTTTTTTAAACAGACTTCGTCCATACCACCGATCATGGAGAGTACGAGTMCATCGAACAACCTTCAAAATTAGAGTAACCAGGAAAAGTATTGTCCAAATCAAAAAAGGCAAAAAATGGACTAAGGTTGGCGGACGAATTCTATTCAGGTAAACCTTGTATTATTAAGCAATAAAGATGAATGAAAAATGGTCCTGTGTGGATTCATCTTCATTGTGTTCTGGTTCATTGATACTGACAAACTGTCGCCAAATAGCCGCTATTTGTTAGTATTTTATAAATTCTATGCAATGAGATATTGCTGCACTCAAATATGGTCCAATAGACTTTACGGCCATCGAGGTTTTAATTCATACATTTTTTTTAGAGGTTGAATTAATTGGAGGTTTTTTTTTAGAATCTGAAATTTCATTCACTTTTTAAAGAACATCGACCAGTTGAAGCTCTAAACTAAAATTATTTTTTGTCTTTACAGAGTCAAGAAGCATAGACGCACATACGTCATCACTCGCACGAAGATCCATAAGAAGTTTGTCTTTATCACAATCTACCGTAGACGTACAGTAAGATTCATCCTCGGACGAAACAAAGGCTATTTCCGTAGCCTAAAATCACGAAAAAGGTGGAGGATCAAAAGACGAAGACGATGGTTGAGACGCATCTGGAGAGCTCGACGTAGATTCCTAAGACTAAACCGCAAAGCCCGAAAATTGAGACGTCGTGTACGTAGGCGAAGACGACGTAGCAGACGCCGTAGACGTAYTCGTCGTGTAAGACGTCGACGCATTAGACGTCGTCGCCGTCGCTTTCCACGAAGAAGCCGCTTTATTAATACCAAGACTCAAGTTTACATCGGGCGTCGGTGGCGTCCTATTTATTATACACGAAGGCGTTATGTTATCTATGTTAAAAGGAAAACACTGCTCGTTCGATTTTTGAGAAGACGAATCAGCTACCGATACCGTAGGCGTTGGGTCAAGGTCAATGTTCGACGCGTCAGGTAAGATTTGCATATGCGGCTGTTATTTTTAAACTTAAAAGTTTTAATCTTCATTATAAAAACTGCATATACAGCTGTTATTTAAGTTTTAATCTTTTGTTAGATAAACTTAAAGATATGCCAGAAAAAAAGTGATATCTTTCAAATGTGAAATTAACATATTATTTCACATACTAAAATAACATTGACGTTACCATGGATATTCCGTACTAAATTGCCCTATCTGCGCGCGCCCATGTAATAGCGGAGCTCCCGCGCGGGCGAAGGCCCGCGAAAGCGGAGCACGATAGCTAAGAAAAAATGGTATACCATCGAGTCGATTTTCCATGGACCGACACAGGGTTCCCGAGCGTACGCACGTTTCCTTTCGTCCGTCCTTCCGTCCGTCCTTCCTTCCGTCCTTCCTGGATTCCGTGTACCACCACAGGAAACCCATACTCCGCTCGAAAAGGAAACAAAGCGCCAAGTATTTGTTGAAAAATTTTTTTCCTTAAAGATTTATATTACATATTGATAATATTAGAACAATTAATCACATGGAAAAATCCACTGAAGAGCGAAATAACAGCACAGAAATATTCCCGCCAATTTTGTCATAACTTCGACGTGTCCGCACACCCGGGAAATCGATTTGCGAAGATGAAAAGCAATTTAGACCCATCTTAAAAGTGATATTAGAAAAAAGGATTTTACTTTGATATTTCGACAACAAGAAAGAGATGACACTTTATTGGAAATACTTCAATAATATGGACCAATATGGGAAAAAGCAGGGATCTATGCGAAGTTCTTTTGTYGACTAAAAGTGTGGACATTTCGAAACCAAGACCATGCTAGCAGTTAGATTGAGAGAGATTAAAAACAAAGAATCTACAGTCTTGAATGACTTAATGAATTGATGAAAGCTATGCTTGAAGGCAAGTATTGCTCTGTTGAAGATGACCTTTGAACGATAATTTATCGGAAGTTCGATAATGAAGGTAAAAAATATATTTTTGAATACAGTTTTATGTGATATGTGAAGTTCGAGTAGTCTGGGTTCAAACATCGATTATTGAAACAATGTTGATTATTGTAAGCTTATGTAGACTACTTTTTGCCGAGAAGCTTTCAGTTTACTTTTAATCAATTGACCTTTATAGATTATAATATTAAACTTCATCCAACGGAACAAAATCTACCGAAGTCAATATTAGTACGAACTAAATTCTCATAAACATACTCTTTATAATATTTGTTCGCATGTCAACAAAACTGTTGTAGCTTACATTCCTTAGAACAGAGCATCTACCTTTGAAATAGCAGTACTAGATAATCATTTTTACAGCTTCTATATTGCTATTGGAGCTCCACTATTAGGTGTTACCTAATTTCTAT